AGTTGGGGGGGTTGGTTGGGGGTAAGCATTCGCAAATTTCGTATGCATAAGGTTGGGGAAAGCATTCGCGAATTTCGTACGTTGGGGATTGATAGGAACAGCGTTCGCATTTTTCGTAAGTTCGGGAATGGTTGGGGGGTGGCAAGCAATCGCAAATTTTGTAGATCTAGAGGGGAGAGAGCATTTCGCCTTACCTGGGGGGGAAATCCAGGTGCGAGCTGGATAAGCAAATATATGGATCCCTAACTAGCACAAGCCATATCCAGCCTATATATTTTTCCTTGTTTTCCGCAATTCCCCTGCCCGCCGTTGCGTATTTCGAGCGTAACAGAGGATGCCCAAAAGCGAATACGAACGTGTTCGCCACGAACACGTTCGTGTTCGCCTCCGAAACCAAGATGTTCGCCTTCACAGGCGAACGGCGAACACCTCTTTTAGCTTAAGCTGTTCGGCGAACCGAACAGTGTTCGGTTCGCCGAACGGCGGTATTCGTGCAGGGGCGAACGCGAACACGTTCGTGTTCGCCTCTTGCTCATCCCTAATCCAAACCACCCACAGTTCGCACGCTCTTGGATGTAGCCGCACAAGAAAACTTTGAGATCAAATCCATGGACGCCTCTTCGGCATTCCTGCAAGGACACCTCAAGGAGACTGTGCTTATGGACCGACCAGAATGCTTTTCAGAGGAGTTCCCTCCCAACACTGTCTGGAAGCAGAATCACCCTGTTTATGGCCTCAAACAAGCCCCTCGTGAATGACACAACAAAGTGAAAGAAGTCCTTCTCCCATTGGACTTTCACCCATCATCTGCTGACCCGACTCCCTTCATTCGCTGTCACTCTGAGCCATTTTACATCCTTGTCTACGTCGATGACTTCATCCTCGTTGCCAAAGACTCGACCCAGATGACCTCTATCTAGGCGGCCCTGAGCAAGGCTCTCCTGGTGAAAGACCTCGGTGATCTCAAGCAATACCTGGGGATGGAGATCACTCGTGATCGCTAGGCTCGCACTATCTCACTCTCCCAAGAGTTCTACATCAAGAATTGTGATGGAGTTGTGCACACCCATGGCCACCCCACTGCCACTACAGCACCTCCTCATAGCTCCAGCTGTTCCCACACCGGAGGCTAGCTCCGAGCCATACCCAGAGCTTGTTGAGTCCCTCATGTACGCCATGATGCGCACCCGGCCTAACCTTGCATACCCTATCAGTGCCCTTTCTTGATATGTGGCTCCTGGACGCTTCACCGATCTCAACTAGAGTGCGGCGAAACGGGTGCTGCGCTATCTGAAGGGCACCAAGTCTCATGTACTCACACTTGGTGGTCTTTCTCCTCCTCGACTAGAAGGCTACGCTGACTCCTCTTGGGCTAATGACCAGACCGACCGACGCTCCTCCCAGAGCTACTGTTTCACCCTTGGCAGTGGAGTTGTTAGCTAACGCTCCACCAGGTCATCTGCTGTCTCCCTCTCCTCTTGTGAGGCAGAACTTTACGCTGACACCATGGCGGCTCAAGAGGCCCGTTGGCTCACCTTCCTCCTCCAGGAGCTTGGCTACCCTCAGCCCACCCCCACCTTCTGGTGTGACAACAAGAGTACCATCCATCTTTTCCAGGATCCTGTGTACCACACTCACACCAAGCACATCGAACTTCGCCACGTCTTCATTCGTGACCTTGTCCAGCGTGAACAGTTGAACGTGGAGAGCGTTGCATCTGACTGCAACCTAGCTGATCTGTTCACCAAGCCCCTTGGGAAGGTTCCTCACCATCGTCTCCTTGGCACCATGGGGCTATATGCCCCACCTTCTCCACCTTGACCTCGATTGACGTCTATGGGGGCGTGTTAGTGTTAGCCCTCAATCTCACATTTTGTACTTGCACTTTAATATCCTAGTGTAGTGTGCACTTTGTGCTTGGTTGGGTGTACACCCACATCCCAACCAAACCCAAATGTGATCTCCAAGCAATCTCCAACCCACCAATTGGAGATTGCCTTGGGATTATCCCATCCCCTAGGATTTCCCCCCATTCTCTCCCCATCCTTACCTTGCACATTTCCGATGTACTTAAAGCTCATTACTAATGCATGGATTCTAAGCTCAAGTTATGACAGCCTCATCACCCAGCAACCAATGATCTGAGAAAAGATGTAGAATACATGGGTCAGTTCATGTGCCAATCATATGTTAGAGAAAGAGTGCAATCTCAACTTTTGCACTTGTAATTCTGTATCCTATTTAAGTGTAGCTGCGTTCATGGTTTGAGTGACACACGGATATCCAAACTTTGACAAAATGTTATTAACTAAAATCTCTAGCCCAACCTTTAGAGATTTTCCGAGTGATCTCAATTCTCCACATGTACGTAAGGAGCCCTGAGCTCAATTTTTTTAAGAGGAATCAGAGCTTTTAAGTTGCACACGTAGATTTCGACCGTTCACTCCCAGAAAGCTATTTTTTGTGCTCTCCCATCTTTCGTGTAAGCTATATCTATATTCGTAGTTAGTGAACGAGTTCCCTAGTAGGAAGCCCTTTCTAGAGTTTCTCATTGACTTGTTCTCATCATCAATTTCAGACGGGCTCGTGCAAGCCCATCTTCACTCCACTCCCACTCAGCACGTACTTGCTGCTCCAGCTACACCCTCACCCATCGCGATTTCCGTTCCGGGCCCTATCCTGAGCTGGTCGGGTCCCACTGCCCGCATATGCATTTACGCCATGATGTGCACCGAACCTGACTTGGCAGATCACGTCAATATACCATCAATGACCTCACAGCACTGCACATGTCACCCATGCCCGAGGTCCCCATGCCCGAGGTCCCCATGCACCCATGCACCCATGCACCCACACACCCATCTTCCCATGCACCCATGCAGGCATGCACCCATGCACACGCCCATCTCCCCATGCACCCATGTATCCATGTCCCCATGCATGCACCCATGCATGCACCTGTGCCTCCATCCATGTTTCCATAAATGCCCCCATGCATCCATGTTCCCTTGCATGCCCCCATGCATCCATGTTCCCTTGCATGCCCCTATGCATCCTTTTTCCTTGCATGCCCCCATGCATCCATGTTCCCTTGCATGCCCCCATGCATCCATGTTCCCTTGCATGCCCCCATGCATCCTTTTTCCTTGCATGCCCCCATGCATCCATCCATGTTCTCATGCATCCACGCTTCAATGTCCTCAAGCACCCATGTGCCCCTGCTGCCTCCTGAATTGTGACTCACAGCTGAAACAGGCCAGAGAGGCGAGACAGGGTGGTGGGGAGAGTGCCGGTCAAGTGGTTGTTGGAAAGATCCCTACGAGCTCATGCCACACAGTGGCAGAACACACAGTGGCAGCACACACAGTGGCCGCACACACAGTGGCAGCGCACACAGTGGCAGCACACACAGTGGCAGCACACAGAGTGGTGGCGCTTCTCCAGTGATAAGAAGGTACAATCTACATAACTGCATGGCATTGAGTGCATGGCACACAATGTTGGCATGAAATGAAGGGCACACAGTGATGGCATGGAATGAAGGGCACACAGTGATGGCATGGAATGAAGGGCACACAGTGTTGGCATGGCATGAAGGGCGCACAGTGTTGGCATGGCATGAAGGGCACACAGTGTTGGCATGGCATGAAGGGCGCACAGTGTTGGCATGGCATGAAGGGCACACAGTGTTGGCATGGCATGAAGGGCGCACAGTGTTTGCATGGAATGAAGGGCACACAGTGATGGCATGGAATGAAGGGCACACAGTGTTGGCATGGAATGAAGGGCACACAGTGTTGGCATGGAATGAAGGGCACACAGTGTTAGCATGGCATGAAGGGCACACAGTGTTGGCATGGCATGAAGGGCACACAGTGTTGGCATGGCATGAAGGGCGCACAGTGTTGGCATGGCATGATGAAGGGCACACAGTGTTGGCATGGAATGAAGGGCACACAGTGTTGGGATGGAATGAAGGGCACACAGTGTTGGCATGGCATGAAGGGCGCACAGTGCTACGTTGGAAAATACGCCCTTGGGGGGTGGGCGTATTGCGTATATACGTTAGCGTATGTACGCAATACGGTAATACGCCTAAAAATCGCTAAAATACGCCGGGGCAGCCCGTTTAAAAAAAAAAAAAAAACTAAAAAAATGCGAGAATTTGCGACGGCGAGAGTTGAACCCTCGACCTCGCACAGCACCCAACCCCTGTCTGCAATTCGAAATTCAAAATCCAACCCCTCCCACATCCCCAACCTCACACCACCCCTCTCAACCTCCTAAACCCAACCTCCCCCCTTTCACTCGTTCGAACATCCCCTCAATCCTCAAACAGCTCGTCTTTCATTCAATCCCGCATTTCTCTTCTTGCATTTCGTCCAACTCTCGTCGAGCTCGAACTCTCATAGCTTTAGTACTTCCTCGCCTTGGCGACCTCTACTCCCTACAGTTCGAGGGCGGAACCTGCCCGGGAAAAAGTTTTACCTGCCCGCCCAGCGTATTTTTGCGTATCAGCAGTACGCCAGCCATGGCGTACCGCGTATATACTAAGCGTATAATACGCTAGCGTATAATACTCGATACTCGTATTTTCCAACATAGGCACAGTGCTGGCATGGAATGAAGGGCACACAGTGTTGGCATGGAATGAAGGGCACACAGTGTTGGCATGGAATGAAGGGCACACAGTGTTGGCATGGAATGAAGGGCACACAGTGTTGGCATGGCATGAAGGGCACACAATGTTAGCATGGCATGAAGGGCACACAGTGTTGGCATGGCATGAAGGGCACACAGTGTTGGCATGGCATGAAGGGCGCACAGTGTTGGCATGGCATGAAGGGCACACAGTGTTGGCATGGAATGAAGGGCACACAGTGTTGGGATGGAATTTAGGGCACACAGTGTTGGCATGGCATGAAGGGCACACAGTGTTGGCATGGCATGAAGGGCACACAGTGTTGGCATGGAATGAAGGGCACACAGTGTTGCCTCACAATTTTCGAATATCCTTCATGTTGCCAATGCCCTCTGGGATGGTTCCCTCAAACTGGTTGTCTGACAGGTCCCTGCAAGCAACACACTCCTCAGCCTTGTCATCATCGCTGCTCATGTGCTGCCCCTCTGCTCATGTGCTGGCCCTCTGCTCATGTGCTGCCCCTCTGCTCTTGTGCTGCCCCTCTGCTCTTGTTGTTCTACTGTGAGAAGAGGAACGAATTTGAGGCGCCTAAACAAAAGAACATACGCTCTTGTGAAGCGTACCGCTGCCCGTCTCCCTGCCCCGCATCAGCTGGGTGAGATGAGAGGGTGATGTTTGAACCAAACCGACAGGCTGACAGGCTGACAGGTTGGTGAACTGCTGATGGACCAGCTCAGCAGATACTCTCTTGGATGCATGAGCTGCAAGCGTAGGCGCTTCAAACGCAGCATCCCATCAGACCCAAGGGTAGGCGCCCCAGAGCACATCAGATGCAAGGGCAGCCCGTGCAGAGACATTGACAGGGTGGTGAGCTTGGTGAGGCACTGACAGGGTGCTGAGCTTGGTGAGGCTGCCAATGGACTCAGGAATGCTGCCTGTCAAGTTGTTCTTCCACACAGAGCTGTTGCACACAGTCAGGCACACGGGTGCCCACGGGGCAGATAGGGGTGGACGAGGGGCATATAGGGGTGGACGAGTGAGAGCTGTGGCAAGAGGGTTTGGGTGCAGTGAGGGATAGGGAAGGCATGAGCATGGGTTGAACCTGGTTTGGCCCACCTTGAACCTAGTCGGGCGGCCCGGGCCGGGATGCGAGTGAATTTTTCCGACTCATGCTTGCCCGACCGTTAGATGTTCGGTACAACTTGGTGGCTTTTCACAAACTGAACCGAACATGTACATGTTTGGTTCGAACAATTCCGAGCTAGAAATAAGCCTGTTTGGTTTGCCTACTATGTCCGCCCGGGTTGGGCAGGTTCGAATTTGACTGGAGCCTTATTCGTTATAGTCACAAATCTTGCATTTCGCCACCGGATCAGAAGGATCTCGAGTTTCAAATGATTATTTTCACTAACTATTGGAAACTGACTCTCGAAAAGATGGGTAGGTTGGTGGTAAAGAACGAGGCAGGGGACCAGGCAGACCAAAAAGAGGAATGCCCATAAAACAAAAGGACCCTCGAGGACCAAACAGGTTGGAGCTAAAAGATGAGCTTCAGATGATAATTGTGTGTCCATAAAAGGACCCTCAAGAAAATTGATACTAGGGTCCTGGGAGCGGGCCTTACAAGGTCCGTGTCAGGCAGCGCAGTGAGGGATAGGGAGCAGTGAGGGGAAGGAGACACTACAATACTTGAAGTTTATTGGTTTACAGAACTAGAAGGCTGATGGGTTACAAAAGTAGAGGTTGATAAGTTACAAAGGCAGAGGCTGATGGGTTGCAAAAGCAGAGGTTGATGGGTTAGAGGTTTTTATTTAGTTGCTGGGTTATAAAACGAGAAGGTTGATGAGGTCACAATTTCGAAGGCTGATGGGTTACAGAACTAGAAGGTTGATGGATCTTACAAGACGTGAAGGTTGATGGATCTTACAAGACGTGAAGGTTGATGGATCTTACAAGACGTGAAGGTTGATGGCTCTTACAAGACTTGAAGGTTGATGGCTCTTACACAACTTGAATGTTGATGGCTCTTACACGACTTGAATGTTGATGGCTCTTACAAGACTTGAAGGTTGATGGCTCGTACAAGACTCGAAGGTTGATGGCTCGTACAAGACTGGAAGGTTGATGGCACTTACAAGACTTGAAGGTTGATGGCACTCACAAGACTTGAAGGTTGATGGCACGTACAAGACTTGAAGGTTGATGGCTCTTACAAGACTTGAAGGTTGATGGCTCTTACAAGACTGGAAGGTTGATGGCTCTTACAAGACTTGAAGGTTGATGGCTCTTACAAGACTCGAAGGTTGATGGCTCGTACAAGACTGGAAGGTTGATGGCACTTACAAGACTCGAAGGTTGATGGCACTCACAAGACTCGAAGGATGATGGCACTTACAAGACTTGAAGGTTGATGGCACTTACAAGACTTGAAGGTTGATGGCACTCACAAGACTCGAAGGTTGATGGCTCTTACAAGACTTGAAGGTTGATGGCACTTACAAGACTTGAAGGTTGATGGCTCTTACAAGACATGAAGGTTGATGGCACTTACAAGACTTGAAGGTTGATGGCTCTTACAAGACTTGAAGGTTGATGGCACTTACAAGACTTGAAGGTTGATGGCTCTTACAAGACTTGAAGGTTGATGGTTCTTACAAGACTTGAAGGTTGATGGCTCTTACAAGACTGGAAGGTTGATGGCTCTTACAAGACTCGAAGGTTGATGGCTCGTACAAGACTTGAAGGTTGATGGCACTTACAAGACTTGAAGGTTGATGGCTCGTACAAGACTTGAAGGTTGATGGCTCTTACAAGACTCGAAGGTTGATGGCTCTTAAAAGACTTGAAGGTTGATGGCTCTTACAAGACTTGAAGGTTGATGGCTCTTACAAGACTGGAAGGTTGATGGCTCTTACACGACTTGAATGTTGATGGCTCTTACAAGAGTCGAAGGTTGATGGCTCGTACAAGACTGGAAGGTTGATGGCTCGTACAAGACTGGAAGGTTGATGGCACTTACAAGACTTGAAGGTTGATGGCACTCACAAGACTTGAAGGTTGATGGTTCTTACAAGACTTGAAGGTTGATGGCTCTTACAAGACTGGAAGGTTGATGGCTCTTACAAGACTCGAAGGTTGATGGCTCGTACAAGACTTGAAGGTTGATGGCACTTACAAGACTTGAAGGTTGATGGCTCGTACAAGACTTGAAGGTTGATGGCTCTTACAAGACTCGAAGGTTGATGGCTCTTAAAAGACTTGAAGGTTGATGGCTCTTACAAGACTTGAAGGTTGATGGCTCTTACAAGACTTGAAGGTTGATGGCTCTTACAAGACTTGAAGGTTGATGGCTCTTACAAGACTTGAAGGTTGATGGCTCTTACACGACTTGAATGTTGATGGCTCTTACAAGAGTCGAAGGTTGATGGCTCGTACAAGACTCGAAGGTTGATGGCTCGTACAAGACTGGAAGGTTGATGGCACTTACAAGACTTGAAGGTTGATGGCACTTACAAGACTTGAAGGTTGATGGCTCTTACAAGACTTGAAGGTTGATGGCTCTTACAAGACTGGAAGGTTGATGGCTCTTACAAGACTTGAAGGTTGATGGCACTCACAAGACTCGAAGGTTGATGGCTCTTACAAGACTTGAAGGTTGATGGCACTTACAAGACTTGAAGGTTGATGGCTCTTACAAGACATGAAGGTTGATGGCACTTACAAGACTTGAAGGTTGATGGCTCTTACAAGACTTGAAGGTTGATGGCACTTACAAGACTTGAAGGTTGATGGCTCTTACAAGACTTGAAGGTTGATGGTTCTTACAAGACTTGAAGGTTGATGGCTCTTACAAGACTGGAAGGTTGATGGCTCTTACAAGACTCGAAGGTTGATGGCTCGTACAAGACTTGAAGGTTGATGGCACTTACAAGACTTGAAGGTTGATGGCTCGTACAAGACTTGAAGGTTGATGGCTCTTACAAGACTCGAAGGTTGATGGCTCTTAAAAGACTTGAAGGTTGATGGCTCTTACAAGACTTGAAGGTTGATGGCTCTTACAAGACTGGAAGGTTGATGGCTCTTACACGACTTGAATGTTGATGGCTCTTACAAGAGTCGAAGGTTGATGGCTCGTACAAGACTGGAAGGTTGATGGCTCGTACAAGACTGGAAGGTTGATGGCACTTACAAGACTTGAAGGTTGATGGCACTCACAAGACTTGAAGGTTGATGGCACTTACAAGACTTGAAGGTTGATGGCTCTTACAAGACTTGAAGGTTGATGGCTCTTACAAGACTTGAAGGTTGATGGCACTTACAAGACTTGAAGGTTGATGGCTCTTACAAGACTTGAAGGTTGATGGCTCTTACAAGACTTGAAGGTTGATGGCTCTTACAAGACTAGAAGGTTGATGGCTCGTACAAGACTTGAAGGTTGATGGCTCTTACAAGACTCGAAGGTTGATGGCTCTTAAAAGACTTGAAAATTGATGGCTCTTACAAGACTTGAAGGTTGATGGCTCTTACAAGACTTGAAGGTTGATGGCTCTTACAAGACTTGAAGGTTGATGGCTCTTACAAGACTTGAAGGTTGATGGCTCGTACAAGACTGGAAGGTTGATGGCACTTACAAGACTCGAAGGTTGATGGCACTCACAAGACTCGAAGGATGATGGCACTTACAAGACTTGAAGGTTGATGGCACTTACAAGACTTGAAGGTTGATGGCACTCACAAGACTCGAAGGTTGATGGCTCTTACAAGACTTGAAGGTTGATGGCACTTACAAGACTTGAAGGTTGATGGCTCTTACAAGACTTGAAGGTTGATGGCACTTACAAGACTTGAAGGTTGATGGCTCTTACAAGACTTGAAGGTTGATGGTTCTTACAAGACTTGAAGGTTGATGGCTCTTACAAGACTGGAAGGTTGATGGCTCTTACAAGACTCGAACGTTGATGGCTCGTACAAGACTTGAAGGTTGATGGCACTTACAAGACTTGAAGGTTGATGGCTCGTACAAGACTTGAAGGTTGATGGCTCTTACAAGACTCGAAGGTTGATGGCTCTTAAAAGACTTGAAGGTTGATGGCTCTTACAAGACTTGAAGGTTGATGGCTCTTACAAGACTTGAAGGTTGATGGCTCTTACAAGACTTGAAGGTTGATGGCTCTTACAAGACTGGAAGGTTGATGGCTCTTACACGACTTGAATGTTGATGGCTCTTACAAGAGTCGAAGGTTGATGGCTCGTACAAGACTGGAAGGTTGATGGCTCGTACAAGACTGGAAGGTTGATGGCACTTACAAGACTTGAAGGTTGATGGCACTCACAAGACTTGAAGGTTGATGGCACTTACAAGACTTGAAGGTTGATGGCTCTTACAAGACTTGAAGGTTGATGGCTCTTACAAGACTTGAAGGTTGATGGCACTTACAAGACTTGAAGGTTGATGGCTCTTACAAGACTTGAAGGTTGATGGCTCTTACAAGACTTGAAGGTTGATGGCTCTTACAAGACTAGAAGGTTGATGGCTCGTACAAGACTTGAAGGTTGATGGCTCTTACAAGACTCGAAGGTTGATGGCTCTTAAAAGACTTGAAAATTGATGGCTCTTACAAGACTTGAAGGTTGATGGCTCTTACAAGACTTGAAGGTTGATGGCTCTTACAAGACTTGAAGGTTGATGGCTCTTACAAGACTTGAAGGTTGATGGCACTTACAAGACTTGAAGGTTGATGGCTCTTACAAGACTTGAAGGTTGATGGTTCTTACAAGACTTGAAGGTTGATGGCTCTTACAAGACTGGAAGGTTGATGGCTCTTACAAGACTCGAAGGTTGATGGCTCGTACAAGACTTGAAGGTTGATGGCACTTACAAGACTTGAAGGTTGATGGCTCGTACAAGACTTGAAGGTTGATGGCTCTTACAAGACTCGAAGGTTGATGGCTCTTAAAAGACTTGAAGGTTGATGGCTCTTACAAGACTTGAAGGTTGATGGCTCTTACAAGACTTGAAGGTTGATGGCTCTTACAAGACTTGAAGGTTGATGGCTCTTACAAGACTTGAAGGTTGATGGCTCTTACACGACTTGAATGTTGATGGCTCTTACAAGAGTCGAAGGTTGATGGCTCGTACAAGACTCGAAGGTTGATGGCTCGTACAAGACTGGAAGGTTGATGGCACTTACAAGACTTGAAGGTTGATGGCACTTACAAGACTTGAAGGTTGATGGCTCTTACAAGACTTGAAGGTTGATGGCTCTTACAAGACTGGAAGGTTGATGGCTCTTACAAGACTTGAAGGTTGATGGCACTCACAAGACTCGAAGGTTGATGGCTCTTACAAGACTTGAAGGTTGATGGCACTTACAAGACTTGAAGGTTGATGGCTCTTACAAGACTTGAAGGTTGATGGCACTTACAAGACTTGAAGGTTGATGGCTCTTACAAGACTTGAAGGTTGATGGCACTTACAAGACTTGAAGGTTGATGGCTCTTACAAGACTTGAAGGTTGATGGTTCTTACAAGACTTGAAGGTTGATGGCTCTTACAAGACTGGAAGGTTGATGGCTCTTACAAGACTCGAAGGTTGATGGCTCGTACAAGACTTGAAGGTTGATGGCACTTACAAGACTTGAAGGTTGATGGCTCGTACAAGACTTGAAGGTTGATGGCTCTTACAAGACTTGAAGGTTGATGGCACTTACAAGACTTGAAGGTTGATGGCTCGTACAAGACTTGAAGGTTGATGGCTCTTACAAGACTCGAAGGTTGATGGCTCGTACAAGACTGGAAGGTTGATGGCACTTACAAGACTCGAAGGTTGATGGCACTCACAAGACTTGAAGGTTGATGGCACTTACAAGACTTGAAGGTTGATGGCACTTACAAGACTTGAAGGTTGATGGCACTCACAAGACTTGAAGGTTGATGGCACTTACAAGACTTGAAGGTTGATGGCACTTACAAGACTTGAAGGTTGATGGCACTCACAAGACTTGAAGGTTGATGGCTCTTACAAGACTTGAAGGTTGATGGCTCTTACAAGACTAGAAGGTTGATGGCTCTTACAAGACTTGAAGGTTGATGGCTCTTACAAGACTTGAAGGTTGATGGCTCTTACAAGACTTGAAGGTTGATGGCTCTTACAAGACTTGAAGGTTGATGGTACTGCCGATGGAGTCCGGTATGATGCCACTGATGCTGTTGTGTGCAGCCTCCCTGCAACCAGCCACACACACATGCACAATGAACAATGCCGTAACTGGAATGGGCAAGGGGTAAGGTACTATGGTTGCACAATAAGAATGAACTAAGACTCCGATGTGCACAGCTGCGCTGCACCGAGTATGAACACCAAATGAATGTTGCGGAGCACATCACTGGCCACATAGTTCATCTGACTTTTGAGTACTCAATAGTCACCTCGGAGCAGATCACTGGCCACATAGTTCATCTGACTTTTGAGTACTCAATAGTCACCTCGGAGCACATCACTGGCCACATAGTTCATCTGACTTTTGAGTACTCAATAGTCACCTCGGAGCACATCACTGGCCACATAGTTCATCTGACTTTTGAGTACTCAATAGTCACCTCGGAGCACATCACTGGCCACATAGTTCATCTGACTTTTGAGTACTCAATAGTCACCTCGGAGCACATCACTGGCCACATAGTTCATCTGACTTTTGAGTACTCAATAGTCACCTCGGAGCACATCACTGGCCACATAGTTCATCTGACTTTTGAGTACTCAATAGTCACCTCGGAGCACATCACTGGCCACATAGTTCATCTGACTTTTGAGTACTCAATAGTCACCTCGGAGCACATCACTGGCCACATAGTTCATCTGACTTTTGAGTACTCAATAGTCACCTCGGAGCACATCACTGGCCACATAGTTCATCTGACTTTTGAGTACTCAATAGTCACCTCGGAGCACATCACTGGCCACATAGTTCATCTGACTTTTGAGTACTCAATAGTCACCTCGGAGCACATCACTGGCCACATAGTTCATCTGACTTTTGAGTACTCAATAGTCACCTCGGAGCACATCACTGGCCACATAGTTCATCTGACTTTTGAGTACTCAATAGTCACCTCGGAGCACATCACTGGCCACATAGTTCATCTTTGCTTAAATAAGGGGGGATGGAGGGATAAGGGGAACAGAGAGGGAGGCGTAGGGGAATTCATCCAAATCAAGGAAAATTTGGATGGATCAAGTTGGGTAGATTGGGGATCAAACCATTTACACCTAAACCAACTCCATAAACGAATGCTTGAAACCAAACATTGAAGCTAACAACTGTGCAACCTATCTTCAACAAGAAATACAAGGGGGCGGCAGGGGAGCAAGGTCGGAGGGGCAAAGAACGCCGCTCTGGTCTTGTACGAGCACGGGTGATTGAAAAAGAGCAGAGATAGGCAGAGAGCAGAGAGAGGCAGAGAGCAGAGAGAGGCAGAGAGCACAGAGAGGCAGAGAGCACAGAGAGGCAGAGAGCACAGAGAGGCAGAGAGCATACAGTTTTCTGAGAATGGTGCGCCCAGAGATCCAGGAGGGAAAGGGGCCCGATAGACCCATATAGCTGAGGTACCTGCACACACATGTGCAGCACCATAGACACACACACACATGTGCAGCACCATAGACACACACACACATGTGCAGCACCATAGCGCGCGCAAGCACACACACACACACACACACACACACACACGCACACCATGTGCAGCACCATAGACACACACACACACACACATGCACACCATGTGCAGCACCATAGACACACACACACACACACACGCACGCACACACACACACGCACACACACACATGTGCAGCACCATAGACGCACACACAGAAGTGCAGCACCATAGACACATGCGCGTGCGCGCGCGAACATGCACACGAATGCACACGCATCTCACACACACCCACACCACACGCACCTCACACACCCACACATACCCCACACTTGCAGGCACCCACCCACTCACCCACGCACGCACCCACCGGCCCACCCACCCACCCATGCACGCACACACCCACGGATGTGCACATGCGCACATAAGCATGCACACACCAACAAAGGTCCATACACAACACAATCATCGAAACAGCACCTTCACAGCTGAGGAGAACTGCACGAGCAGTCAATGGTGAGTCCATGTGGAATGGTGAGAGGGGAAACAGAGGGTCACTTGGAGGGAGAGAGAGGGTCGCTCACAGCAATTGGAGCTTGGCGAGGCTCTTCATCTCAAGGGGAATGGAGCCTGTTAGGAAGATGTTAAAGCTGAGGTCTCTGTACACATCATCACCGTGCCATGCCATGTGCACACATCATCACCGTGCCACGCCATGAGCACACATCATCACCATGTCATGCCGTGTGCACACATCATCACCGTGCCATGCCATGTGCACACATCATCACCGTGCCATGCCATGTGCACACATCATCACCATGTCATGCCATGTGCACACATCATCACCGTGCCATGCCATGTGCACACATCATCACCGTGCCATGCCATGTGCACACATCATCACCATGTCATGCCATGTGCACACATCATCACCGTGCCATGCCATGTGCACACATCATCACCATGTCATGCCATGTGCACACATCATCACCATGCGTGTGGACACACCAACGGGCAGCAGAACGATGAAATGCCACACAGATGGAAGGGGGCGGGCAGCAGATCAATTGCAAAAATGATACCGAGAGAGGAAAGCAATATTACGACTTAAAGAAAAAGTTGCAGTGAGGTCGAACAACGGGAGGATCAAGGACCGTATAGGGGGAAATGGATGCAGCGATACCATAATCGGATATGGTACATGGACTTTAAGTACAGCACACTAGGAGGGTTGGGTGGATGAGACGCAATCAGGACGAAATCCTAAGATGTTGCGTCCAAGTAATGGGGATTTTGGATGGATAAGGATGGCTAGGTTGGGGATAGAAAGTCTACACCCAACCGAAACGGAACTCAGTTAAGAGATTGTAACTATAAAGTAACAAATAAGGTGAAGCCTACTTCCAACAAATTCTTGCTGAAGTGTGGCACGCCTCAGAAGGTTTTCTTTGGGTCTAACCCAGTACAATACTTGCTGAAACTTGATAGGCAATGGCGTGGAGCTTCATTGCCTCACAGCATAGATCTGGGCATGCGGCGTGCCTGTGTTCGACTTTTGAGGTGGCATGCCTATGTTGGACGTGCCTGTGTTGGACGTGCCTGTAGACCCGTGCGGCATGCCTGTGTTGGACGGGGTGAGAGTCAGTGAAGCGTACTTACAGGCGTGAGAGGGCAGCGAGGTGAGAGATGGCTGCAGGAATGGAGCCCGACAGCTGATTCCACCGGAGCTCTCTGCCATGCGTGCCATGCGTGCCATGTGTGTCATGTGTGACATGTGTGTCATGTGTGACATGTGTGTCATGTGTGCCGTGCGTGCCATGTGTGTCATGTGTGACATGTGTGTCATGTGTGCCATGCGTGCCATGTGTGTCATGTGTGACATGTGTGTCATGTGTGCCGTGCGTGCCATGTGTGTCATGTGTGACATGTGTGTCATGTGTGCCGTGCGTGCCGTGTGTGTCATGTGTGACATGTATGTCATGTGTGCCGTGCGTGCCATGTGTGTCATGTGTGACATGTGTGTCATGTGTGCCATGCGTGCCATGTGTGTCATGTGTGTCATGCATGCCATGTGTGTCATGCGTGCCATGGAGTGACATGGAGTGACATGGAGTGACATGGAGTGGCATGGAGTGACATGGAGTGGCATGGAGCGACATGGAGTGACATGGAGTGACATGGAGTGACATGGAGTGGCATGGAGTGACATGGAGTGACATGGAGTGGCATGGAGTGACATGGAGTGACATGGAGTGACATGGAGTGGCATGGAGTCAAGCACACGGCAGGGACGGGATGGAAACCGCAAGAAATGTGGATTGTGGCTTCAGCGTGAGGGAGCTGTGGGACGATCAGAGTAGCACGGAATGCGGGTTTGACAGGGTGGGTGAGGGGCAACTCAAACTGCTTGTTGCCCGGTGAGGGATCGACGCATACCCCGGGGCTCTCCTGCCTCTCAGCCTTGAGGTCGCCAAGACAGCATTCCATCTAATCTCCTTATCCCTCATCTCATCTCATCTCATTCCCCCTCAGCCTGCAGACCTGAATCACGGTCGATCATATCAGGCGGTCCTCGCTCTGCCATTACCCACACCCTGTTCTGTCATGCATCCATTTTCATCCCCTTTTGAGCGAAAATCAATCAATGAGGCGGCCCTGTGCCACGCAATTTTGGCTTGCAAACCATTCAGTGACCACAGGATGCACAACATCTATCACAGCACATTTCATACCATGTAAAGATCATCACACCACTTCAATCAGAGAAACAGAAATTCCCGCGGCTGGAGCTGCAAGACAACGGCGCATCCCTCCTGAGGTGCCCCTGTGCAAGGGTACTATATTTTGGAGTTTTCTAACGGTACAACACACAAACGGGAGAAGCAATACGATAGGTGGGCTGGAAGTGTGTTCTCACAACATGGCAAGATTGGTGAGGCGGAAGAGGGATGAAGGGATTGTGCCAGTGAGCCTGTTGCCGCCAAGTGACCTGTACAGCCACAGCGAGGGGCATATGGGGAGCAAGGTGCAACAAACGGGCGTACGGTATGGGGTGAAAGTGGCATGGGCATGGGGCTTGCTCTTGGTCGCTTGGACCCACTTTTGAAGCCCCACCCACCTGTACCATCGTACCGTCGTACCATCGTACCGTCGTACCGTCATACTGTCGTACCTCAACACAAGGCTACTCATTCCAATCCAACAACCTTCTGTGTCCTTTGCTGCCAAGATTCGCCAGGAACGTTGGGTGGGCTGCCTACGAGACTCAGTTCTCACAATTGGCTTATTTGAGGTGTCAAAGGCGACTCAACATCGAATTTGTGTCTCTTTTGCTACCGAGGATCATCATGAGGGGTGTGTCTCCTAGCTGGCCCCATAACCCTTGACCTCTGCTTCAATCCTGCCTGTTCTATCAAGGCTGTGCGCTGTGATATGGTCTGACACCATCTGCACCGGAATACGAATTATCCAGGTTATGCACACCTGTGAGCACACCTGTGAGCACACCTGTAAGCACATTTGTGAGCATGCCAGTAAGCACACTTGCCAGCACGCCTGTCAGCATGCATTGGCCCTTACCAAAATGGCATGGCCGCAAGCAAATCCATTTCAGCGTCGTCCCCGGTCGCAACCTCTAGAGAGAACAAAGTCGCGCGAGGTTTCTACAACTCATCGAGTTAAAAAAACTCGAGAGTTTAAAAAAGCTTGCCGTTTTTGCCGAGTTTTTTACGAGTGTGTTTTTACTCGCGAGTAAAACTCAACTCGAGGAGCCGAGTATTTAGACAAAAAAACGAACTCGAAACTCGAGCTTTTCGAGTCCCTCGAACGAGTCGAGGAAAAACTCGACTCGTTTGCCCATATATTAATGATCGTAAGTATAACAAGGGCCGGGCAACGGCTTTTCCCTATCCTGAGTTGATTTGCGGGAAGCACGCTTACAGGTAGGAGAGAAGAGTGAGGTTGGCAATTGCTGCTGGAATGGAGCCTGAAAACACATTCCATTGAAGGTCTCTGACACGTGAGCAAGGCACAACACACACACACACTCACACACACACACACACACAAACACACACCACACACACCACACAAACGCACGCACGCACGCACACGCACACACGGGCACGCATGCGTGCACACACACGCGCGCACGCACGCACGCACGCGCACACACACACACACACACACACACACAGCACAAGTGGCCTATTAAGCAAATCGAAACAAAATGAAACTACTTGAAGTAAGGTCAGTTTGGTTGGGTAGCTTCCAGTGAAAACACTTAGCCATGGCTCTACCATTTGAGCGGGAAACAGGGTGAAACGCGGCATGCAGAAGAGATGTACGTCACAATTCCTGAGCAACTAGACAGCACATGAGAAGCGGGATGAGCAGTTGCTCGACCTACCCTTAAATCCAGGTTTGTTGTCATGGCAAGCTGAGAGCCAGTGTTGGAGCTTGCATGTGGGCTCGGCTCAAACACAAAAGTGCTTCACTCACTGGCCCGTCTCACCTTACAGGCCCAGCCTGCATGCCGGCCAATCAACGTGTGGCACATTGTGGAAAAGTGAAACGATTTCTCCACCAATCAAAGCCGTGTACGTACTGAGCTTTTCGTGGAGATATTCAGGTATTGTGGAGTTCAAAGTTAGGCATGAGGCGCAATTCCAAGGGAGGAGAGTCAAGTTGCCAATGGAGGAAGGTGGAGTTGCCGATGGAGGAAGGTGGAGTTGCCGATGGAGGAAGGTGGAGTTGCCGATGGAGGAAGGTGGAGTTGCGGATGGAGGAAGGGTTAAAGTCCACTGTTTGGTCCGTGGCTCCCAGTCATGTTGGATTTCTTTTGTGAGGATTCGAAAACATCACCCCAGGCCCAGGCCACTTGAAGGGCTATCACACACAAACACAGACCGGCAAGATTGGCAACGGTGGAGTGGGTAGGATTACTCACAACAAGGCGAGGTTGGTGAGGTGGAATATGGCCAACGGGATTGAGCCCTTTATCTTGTTAGTTCCAAGATTCCTATTTCAGAGCAACGTGGGGCACACGAGAAGCAGTTGATGCAGAGGGGCGAGAGGACATAAGATGAAATGGGTGCATGGGGAGCAAGGCACAGCAAGGGGTGCTTGCATGGGAAGTAAGGCACAGGAAGCAATGGGCATAAGGGGAGCGAGCAAGTGGCGAGGCCATAAGGTTATACGGAGGGGCAGTGTACAAGCAACACAGCAACAAGGTGTGTCTTCTCCTCCATGCCAAATGAATGCCGACCTGTGCTCGGCAAGGTTCAAAAATAAGGTTTTCGAAAAATACGGTCCGTCTTTTACGATAATTTTCCAAAACAAAACTGTGTTTTTTTGTTAGGTCGTATCCCTGGCTGGTGGCAAGAAGTTGGTGGCAAGAAGTTTGCGCACGCGATTGGTTAAAGAAAACACTTGACCAATCGCATTGGCCGGGCATCTGTTTTGGACCAATCGCGTGCGCAAACTTCTTGCCACCAACTTATTGCCACTAGGCTGGGATACGACCTTAGAGAACTGTTGCCACCAATAAAAAAAAGGGAAAAAACGCACGCATGCAAGGAGGGGTTCGTCCTCTTCATCCTGCCATCAATTTGGTCCCACACATTGGCCATTTTTTTCGTCAAACAAAAAACACCTCCTGGAACCGTTTTAAACCGTCTGTTACAACCGTTTTTTACGGTAAATTTTCAATGATACGGTCGTTATTTTTAACCCTGGTGCACGGAGGATCTCTTCTGAGAATTCTTAAAGCAGCAGTATACATTTGGCAGGGCATGTGCCAAAAGTTAATACCTGGTACTTTCGCTGGGGCGAGATCGTTTTGGGAACCCTAAACCCTCTAACGGCCCTGCCAAATGTATACTGCTGCTTTAATATTGCATGGAGTATCAGGGCATGTCCCCATCGAGACCCCCAACATTGCCATTTCCGACCACCAACTCTTCGGCTATGATGGAAATGCAACGGTCAAGACCCTTGACGGTCAAGACCCTTGACGGTTAAAGCCCGCAGCCCAAGTTGTTCATGTTCAAGTTGTCCCTTCCCCTTGAACCCAGCCTTTAACTCGTCCCTTCCCTCTCCCTCGCACACCTCCTCTCCCATGTTCATTTCCTTTTCCGCCGCATGTCTTCTTACCCCTCCCCTTTTCACCCCGCTTCACCTTTTTAGCTCCCCCCTCCCTCTCCCCCTCCATCTCCTCCATCCCTTTGTCGACCCCTCAGAACCCTCCGCGCCCGCAGCATTGTCACGATCTGCTCTCGTGGTGTGACCGGCGGTTCCTTCCACACCGTTACCAGCGCCATCGTCCCCACCCTCACCACCATTGTGTTTGCAATCCTCCCCTTCCACCCCGTACTCCACACTATCTTCGTTATCAAGTCTCCAATCCCGCCCAGAGCCTCCCTCCCCGCCACCTTTGACGACAGCCTTATTGCCTCCTGCGGCAGCCCAGAGAACTTGCTCACGATCTGCCTCCGCAGCCAACCACTTCAGGTGGCGCTGCTCCTTCGTGGTCAGCCCGATCTGGTGATTGCCTTCTTTTATTTTAGCTTTACCACGGCCAACACCACGTCCGCGACCTGCTACAGCGGGTCCATTGTTGTTCTTATGCGCCAGCTGCTTCATGCGCACCATCCAGGTAATGTTGTTGAGGTACTAAACCGCCGGCAGGTAATACACAAACCCTAATCGCGCGGCAATGTATTAACGACGGTCGATCCAGACAACAGCGCAACGTCAATGTCGTGCAGATGAGGACGGGAACGTCAGTAATAAAAAACGACTTTGTGCTTAGTATTGGGCGTGTAGGCAATGGCACAGTAGAAAGTATTCTACGAACCCAGAAGGTGGCGTAAGATCTGAAAAGTGGATGGGTAAAAATGTCAGGACACAATATTGTACCCAACTGTCCGGCAATGTTACCTAGAAGGGTTACGGGATGAGTTTTCCTTCGCTCGACGAGCAGAAAAAAACTCGCCTACCCAGGAAAACTCGTCGAGTTTAATAAATGCTCGCTAAAAAGTGCGGGAGTACTCGTCGAGCATAAAAAATATGACGAGTAAAACTGGCGCCTGCTCGGCCAAGTCTTTCTCGCCAAAATGAAAACTCGTTACTCGCCCCTTGACGAGTAACTCCGACGAGGCGGGGCGAGTAACTCGCCCGATTGCACAGGTCTAGGTTTTGACCCTAACGTAGACGCAATGGTCAAGACCCTTGACGCCCCCTGAGCACATTTGTTGACTCGGGTTTGATGCTCGGGCGGGCAGGCAAAAAAAATACCCTGGGCAGGCAAAAACAACTTGGACCAGAACTATGGTCTTCATCTTTCTTTACTGTATTGGTTTGAGAGTTCTGGGGGGTGAAAAGAGTTGAGTTGATTTTGAGGGAGTGTTTTCAGTGAGAAAACGCAGACCATGTTATTTGGGCTGCCTCAGAATTTTGGGGCATGTGGCTTGACATGGCATGGTCGATGGTGGAGGTGAGTAATGAAAGATTACAGGCGTGAGAGGGCTGTCAGGTCAGCAATGGCTTCTGGGATGGAGCCTGACAAAGTGTTGAAACTGAGAGTCCTGCCATGCGAGTCACATGGGGAGGGGCAGTAGGGAGAAACATCACGTCATGCCATGTCATGTGATGCGATGTCACGTCATGCCATGTCATGTCATGTCATGTCACGTCACGTCATGTCATGTCATGTCATGCCATGTGATGTCATACCATGTCACGTGGTGTCATGTCATGTGATGTCGTCATGCCATGTCATGTGATATATTGACATGTCATGTGATATATTGACATGTCATTTGATGTCATGCCATGTCATGTGATGTCATGCCATGCCATGTGATGGCATGCCATGTCGTGTGATGTCATGTCATTTCATGTGATGTCATGCCATTTCATGTGATGTCATGCCATGTTATGTGATGTCATGCCACACCATGTGATGTCATACCATGTCATGTGATGTCATGCCATGTCGTGTGATCTCATGCCATGTCATGTGATGTCATGCCATGTCGTGTGATCTCATGCCATGTCATGTGATGTCATTGTCAGAACTTGAGCTTAAAATCCATGCATTAGTAGTGAGCTTGAAGCTCTTTAAGTACATCTAGATAAGCAAGGAAAGGATGGTGAAGAAGATTGGAAGCAATCTCTAGGGATTGGGGATGATCCCAAGGCAATCTCCAATTGGTGGGTTGGAGATTGCTTGGAGATCACATTTGGGCTTGGTTGGGATGTGGTGTACACCCAACCAAACACAAAGTGCAAACTACACTGAACTAGGATATAAAAAGTGCAAGTACAAATGTGAGATTGAGTGCTAACATTAACACCCCCCCATAGGCGTCAATCGAACTCAGAGCAGAGAAGATGGAGCACATAGCCCCATGGCGCCAAGAAGATGATGGTGAGGAACTTTCCCAAGTGGCTTGGTGAACAGAATGCAACATACTCCACATGCAACTACTCCCACTGGACAAGGTCACGAATGACGTAGTGCCGAAGTTCGATGTGCTTGGTGCGGGTGTGATACACAGAGTCCTGGGAGAGGTGGATTGTGCTCTTGTTGTCACACCAGAGGGTGGGGGCGGGCTGAGGGTAGCCAAGCTCCTGGAGGAGGAAGGTGAGCCAGCGGGCCTCTTGGGCCGCCATGGTGCCAGTGTAGAGCTCTGCCTCACAAGAGGAGAGGGATACTGCAGACGACCGGGTGGAGCGCCAGCTGACAATTCCGCTCCCAAGGGTGAAGCAGTAGCCCTGGGGGGTGTCGATCGGACTGGTCATCGGCCCAAGAAGAGTCAGTGTAACCTTCCTGTCGAGGAGGAGAAAGCCCACCAAAGGTGAGTACATGAGACTTGGTGCCCTGCAAATAGCGCAGCACCCATTTAGCCGCCTTCCAGTGAAGGTCAGTGACGCGTCCAGGAGCCACAAAGCGAGAGAGGACACTGACAGGGTATGCCAGGTCAAGCCAGGTGCACATCATGGCGTACATGAAGGACCCAACAAGCTCCGGGTATGGCTCAGAGCACGCCTCTGGTATGGGTACAGCTGGAGCTGTGAGGAGGTGTTGCAGCGGCAACGGGGTGGCAGTGGGTGTGCACATTGTTCATGTAGAACTCCTGGGAGAGTGAGATGGTGCTAGTTTGGCGACCACGAGTGATCTCCATCCCCAGGTAGTGCTTGAGATCAGCGAGGTCTTTCATCAGAAGGGCCTTGCTCAGGGCCGCCTGGACAGAGGTCATCTGGGTCGAGTCCTTAGCAACTAGGATGAAGTCATCGACGTAAACAAAGATGTAGAATGGCTCAGAGTGACGGCGAATGAAGAGAGTTAGGTCAGCAGATGATGGGTGAAAGTCCAACGAGAGAAGGACTTCTTTCACTTTGTTGTACCATTCACGAGGGGCTTGCATGACGCCGTACACAGGGCGATTCAGCTTCTACACAGTGTTGGGAGGGAACTCCCCTGGGAAACCTTCAGGTCGGTCCATAGACACAGTCTCCTTGAGGTGTCCTTACAGGAATGCCGAAGAGGCGTCCATGGATTTGATATCAAAATCTTTTCGTGCGGCTACATCCAAGAGCGTGCGAACTGCGAGTGGTTTGGATGTGGGAGAGAAGGTTTTGAAGAAGTCAAAGTACAGTTGCTGAATGAATCCCTTGGCCACATAACGCGCATTGAACACTAGGACCTCATCCGGAAGCTGTTTCACTCCAAATAGCCAATTTCCCCCAACGGTGTTAACTCCTAGAGGTGGAGTTTCGTCGTCGAAAGAGTGATTGCAAGTGAAGGCTTCACACTCAGCTTCCATGGCAGCGCGCCACTTGGCAGCATGCGGACCCGAAAGAGCCTCTTGGAGAGTGAGGGGGATAGGGATGGTCGGATTCTCAGAAAAGTTGAGCGAGGGTGATTCAGTGATATCGGAGAAGATGTGCGAGAGCTGGGGAATGACAGCGTGAAGATCACACAGCTTCTCATGCCTATCTTCCAGAAGGGTGGAGGGCTCATCCCCCCCAGCAGGAGGAGTCGGAGTGATCACAGAGCATCGAATGGCAAGTGCCAGTGCGGAAGCAGCCCTATGCGACCGAGTGCCATGAGCCACCGGAGAAGAGGGTGGAGCAGGCGTTCCTGGAGGGGACGGTTTAGGAGGCCTGGGCGGAGGGATTGGCCGTCGCTGGTACGTGATAAGTTCGGGCAGTGATGGTATGTGATTGGTGCGCTTGGTGGTGGGAGCGCACTTGGTAGAGTAGGAGAGGGGAGAGATGAGGGAGCAGCTGCCGAGGACACCGGTGAGGTCGGGCCAGAGACCGCAGAGTGGGATGGTGCGTTGGCAGGAGAGGTAGGAGGTGAGGGAGCTGGTGCAGGCGGAAGTTCAGGAGGTGCATCAAAGTCAGCCCACACAAGAGAGGGTGGTCCGGAAGGAAGGATCCCCCCCCCAAGAGTAGAAGGGGCGAGTCTCGTCAAAGACGACGTCGCGGCTCCGGATTAATTGTTGAGTAGAGGGGTTGAGAAAGAGATAGTCATGGGAGCCGGAGTTATGCCCAAGATAGATGCACGTTTGAGTTTTGGGGCCGAGCTTGCCACCTTGCTACCGCCGAGCCTGTGGGTTGAGGAGGACATAGGCGGTGCGGTGCACCCCATACTCGAAGGGGGCGAGCAGTGGGTGTTTTCCCGAGCCAGAGTGCGTTGGGAGTGGTGTCGGGAAGATGCGGGTGGGGGTAGTGGTTGTAGAGGAGGGCGGCATGGTAGAGGGCGTACCCCTAGAGTGAGAGTGGTGTGTTGGAGTGGCTGAGCAGGCAGCGGGTGATCTGTGCCAACGTGTGATTGCGGCTCTCTGCGATGCCGTTCTGCTGCGGGGTGTCAGGAAAAGTGAAGTTTTGCCAGATACCGAAAGAGGAGCAGAAGGCTTTGAGTTTGTCTGAATTCACCGCCACCATCCGAATCGAGGCGCTTGACCTTGGAGCGAAAGGTGGTATGTGCCTAGTTAACGCACGCTATGATGGCCTCAGGAGCCTCAGCCTTAGTTTGGAGGAGGTGCACACAGAAGTAGCGAGGGTGGTTATCAACTATTGCAAGGAAATAGCGATAACCGCCTCGTGCGGCAACAGGGGCAGGGCCCCAGACGTCCATGTGCACTAGGTCCAGTGGAGCTGCTGCGACTGAGGGTGAGGCAACGTGGGGCTGTTGGCGTATTGCTCTTGGTGCAGACAAGGCACGTGGGAGTGGTGTCAGAACTTGAGCTTAGAATCCATGCATTAGTAGTGAGCTGAAAGCTCTTTAAGTACATCAGAAATGAGCAAGGTATGGATGGGTTTGGAATCGGGGGCAATCCTAGGGAATTGGGGGTAATCCCAAGGCAATCTACAATTGGTGGGTTGGAGATTGCTTGGAGATCACATTTGAGTTTGGTTGGGATGTGGGTGTACACCCAACAAAACACAAAGTGCGAACCACAAGAAACTAGGATATAAAAAGTACAAGTACAAATATGAGATTGAGGACCAACATTAACACCCCCCCATATGCGTCAATCGAACTCATGGTAGAGAAGGTGGAGCGCAGAGCCCCATGGCGACTAGAAGGCGATGGTGAGGAACCTTCCCAAGGGGCTTGGTGAACAGATCAGCCAGGTTGCAGTCAGAAGCCACATACTCCACATTGAGCTGCTCCCGCTGGACAAGTTCACGGATGAAGAAGTGCCGAAGTTCGATGTGCTTGGTGCGAGCGTGGCACACGGGATCCTGGGAGAGGTGGATGGTGCTCTTGATGTCACACTAGAGGGTGGGAGTGGGCTGAGGGTAAACAAGCTCCTAGAGTAGAAAGGTGAGCCAACGGGCCTCCTGAGCCCCCATGGTGCCAGCATAGAGCTCTGCCTCATAGGAGGAGAGGGAGACTGCAGACGACCGGGTGGAGCGCCATCTGACCTTGAGGTGCCCTTGCAGGAATGCCAAAGAAGCGTCCATCGATTTGATCTCAAAGTCGTCTCGTGCGTCTACATACTGTGGGTGGTTTGGATGTGGGAGAGAAGGTTATGAAGAAGTCAAAGTACTGCTACTGAATGAACCTTGGCCACATAGCATGCTTTGAACACTGGTGCCTCGTCCGGAAGCTATTCACTCGAAACAACCACTTGAACCCAACGATATTGCGAAGGTAACTTTACCAACGGGAGCTAGCCTACGGGTTAGGCACGGATGCTCGTGTGATCTCTGCGTACGTTCGCTTAGTTGTTTACTCGTGCTTGCACTACTTGCTGCTTCACGGGGGAATTGAGCAAGGGTTCCACTAGCAAAAGTTCACAACAATTATGGCAACAACATTGACATTATAGACTACATCAGAGCTAGCTAGATTGTTTGTCGACTTCCAGCGCAGCATGGTCGACCGCGCTTTAGCGCAGCAGCGCTCGCACCGCTCCAGCGTTGCAGAATAGAGGTTCGCCAACGTTGCAAGTCCACGGTGTGCCAACGCTGCAGCAAGTCGGCTGCGTAGCGTTGCACCCGCAGAACAACGGTGCGTCTGTTTCGCAGGTGCGTGCAGCTGGTTGGTGCACCACGCTACATCACG